GGAGCATATTCTCAGGATGTCTCTGCCCCTATAGATTGCCCCTCCCCTGTGGCTCCAATCCTGCGTGTTTTACGTGTGCTCCTGCAGTTTGGGCCTCTCCTGGGGCACGAGTCGTTTGTGTGTGTGTGTGTGTGTGTGTGTGTGTGTGTGTGTGTTACGTGTGTCCCTATATATTGCCCCTCCCCTGTGGCTCCAATCCTATGTGTTTTACTCATGTTCCTATAGGTTGGGCCTCCCTGGGGCACGAGCCCTACTCAGGCCCCAGGAAGCTCCAAGAAACTCCAGGGGGCACCAGGAGGCCCCAGGAAGCCAGTGTTTTACGTATGATCTACAGATCGGGCCTCTCCTCTCAGTGGTGTGGCTGGCTGTATCACGGTCCAGCCACTGCGTCAAATCTTCGGGGCCAGCCAACGAAACGCAACGGGTTTCGCACGGCGTTATCAACACCCCTATTCCTTGCGTCATCATGCAGGGAGGAGTCGAGTAACCATTCCGTCTCAGTCACGCTCAGTCGCGCTCAGTCATGCTCAGGCCACAGACGTGCAGATACAGCCATCCTAAGCTTAGACATACTAAGACCCATGCGCATACACTCACTCGTACTAGACTCATTCACACTCCAATTCATTCACATTTAGATTCACGCCCAATCTGTCAATACTCAACCCGCTTGTATTCGAACACTCCTGCGCCTAGACGCTCACGGCAGAAAGGTCCATACACATGTATGCACATATGGGGGCTCCGCGCAATGTCTTGTTTGTTTCGCTTGTTTCAGCCGCGCGGCGGTGAGTACCTCCAGCAACGCAACGCACGTCGTGGACTTTATTTCAACCCAGCTCGGACGACCGACGCAACAATGAAGATCATCTGATTTAAAGCCCACGAATAAACGCAACAAAAACGGAATGAAACCGTGGGGGCTCGGAAAACCATCAGCAAACAATGGAACACCTGACCTGGTATCAGCGCTTGGGTGAGGATGTCTCTTGCGAAACTATTGTGTGTTGTGCTCGGTGCGTGCAGAAACGCAAGAAGCACTGGACGGACACCGCGGCAATCTCAGGTAACTTACACAGCGGAAACCGATCGCCTAACCTGAGCGTAAGCTGCATTGTTTGGCCATGCAATGAACACAAGCTTGTGCTGCCGGATGATGCGGGGAGCCCCCCCCCCGGCTCAAGAGGCCGTTGCCCCCCCGCCCGCCAGGCCCACACGGAACCTTTAGAATCTTAAGCGGGGAAGTTCGCCCGCGTCGCCCCGCAATCGTCGTCTGCCGCCGTCTGCCGCAGGCTGCCGCCATGTCCACCGCCGTCGTCATTGCAGTCAGCAGCGTCGTCATTCGCCATCGCCAGCATCGTCAGCGCCGCTCCCACTGCTGTCGCCACCGTCACCCTCGCCTTCCATTTCCTCGTCGCCATGGTCGTCGCCGCCGCGGTCATCGCTGCGGTCTTCGTCGTCGTCGAGCATGCTCGGGTCAGAAAATTGCCTGCTCGGGCCTGCTCAACCAGAGTCGCTCACCCTCCGATGCGTTCGCGTATCTGGCAGGGGGCCACAAGAACTTCGAACACATAAACCTTTCCCTGTCTGCTGATGGATCTCTCTGCGGCCTCTTGTATCCTCAAGGGGCAGTCTTGGAGGTGCTGTGTACATTTTTACCTAACAGCGAAGACTGATAGGTTTCTAGTTGACTCAAAAGAGCTCACAGATCACTCCACAGGGGGGTCCGGGCAGGTGTTGGGGCGTTTCCGGGCGGCATGAGCCGGGCTCGTTTTTCACCAACAGTCACACACTTCGTGCTCTTCGCCTTCCCAGAACTCCATTCCCAGGCCACATTCTGGGGGGCCGGATGCAACAGTCACACACAAAGTGCTCTTCGACATCCCAGAACGCCATTCCCGGGCCACATTCTGGGGGGCCGGATGCAACAGTCACACACTTCGTGCTCTTCGAGTTCCCAGAACGCCATTCCCGGGCCACATTTTGGATGCCCGGAGCCAACTGTAGGCCACTTCGTGCTCTTCTATTTCCCAGAACTCCATTCCCGGGCCACATTTTGAATGCCCGGAGCCAACTGTAGGCCACTTCGTGCTCTTCGAGTTCCCAGAACTCCATTCCCGGGCCACATTTTGAATGCCCGGAGCCAACTGTAGGCCACTTCGTGCTCTTCGAGTTCCCAGAACTCCATTCCCGGGCCACATTTTGAATGCCCGTAGCCAACTGTAGGCAACTTCGTGCTCTTCGACTTCCCAGAACTCCCATTCCTGGGCCACATTTTCAGCAGGGGCAAGAGCACGATGAGGAGGAGGACGAGCAAGACCAGGAGGACGAGGACGAGCAGGAGCAGGACGAGGAGCAGGAGGAGCAGGAGAAGAAGGACGAGCAGGAGGAGGAGGAGGACGAGCAGGAGGAGGAGGACGACCAGGAGGAGGAGGACGACCAGGAAGGAGGAGGAGGAGGAGGAGGAGGAGGAGGAGGGGGAGGAGTACCGAGGAGGAGGAGGAGGAGGAGGAGGAGGAGGAGGAGAGGAGGAGGAGGAGGAGGAGGAGGACGAGGACGAGGAGGAGGAGGAGGAGGGGGGGGGAGAGTACCAGGAGGAGGAGAACGAGGACCACCAGGAGGAGGAGGAGGAGGAGGAGGAGGAGGAGGAGGAGGAGAGAACACCAGGAGGAGGAGGACGAGCAAGACGAGGAGGACGAGAACGAGGACGACCAGGAAGAGGAGGAGGAGGAGGAGGAGGAGGAGGAGGGGAGGGGGAGGACTACCAGGAGGAGGAGGAGGAGGAGGAGGAGGAGGAGGAGGAGGAAGAGGAGGAGGAGGACGAGGAGGAGGAGGAGGACGAGGAGGAGGAGGGGGGGGGAGAGCACCAGGAGGAGGAGAACGAGGACCACCAGGAGGAGGAGGAGGAGGAGGAGGAGGAGGAGGAGGAGGAGGAGGAGAGAGCACCAGGAGGAGGAGGACGAGCAAGACGAGGAGGACGAGAACGAGGACGAGCAGGAGGAAGGAGGAGGAGGAGGAGGAGGAGGAGGAGCAGGAGAAAGAGCAGGAGGAGGAGGAGGCAGGCTGAGGCTGAGGCTGTGACTGTGACTGCCGTTGCCACTGCGACTGTCATCGCGAATGCGACTACGACTGCGAGAACAGCAGAATTCTACAACTGGATTCTCATCTGAATCTTAAGGGGAATGCTTCCAGATATGCTCCTACACATCGCTGTTAGGTTGCTTTGCCGGGATAATTTTGGATTCGAAAACCTCCCGGGGCCCTCTTGGGGCTCTCTTGGGGTCCTGTTGGGGGCCTCCTGGACAGTCTTCGAACCCTCCGTCTGGGCCGTCCTGGGGCCATCTTGGGGCTCTCCCGGGGCTCTACTGGGCCGTCTTGGCGCTGTCTTGGGAGCCTCTAGGGCCTTCCTGGATGGCGAATATTGCAACAGCGTGCAAGAGCATGAGGGGGAATCAATGGTTTGGGCCTCATGGGGGCCCCTTGGGAGTCCGCTAAGGGCCGTCTTGGGCGTCTTGCTGGCCCCCAGGCCCGTCTTGGAGGACTCTTAGGGCGTCTTGGGGCCATCTGGGGCCAACCTGGAGGCTGCGTTGCCTCGTCTCGTCTGGCCTTCTCGTGTCGCCGCGGAGACCTGCCGGGCCAAGACAGGGCCCGTCACACGCCAGTCTCGTCGCCCGCGGGGGCCTGGAGGGATCCACCTGCCTTGTCAGGGGAAGTCCCTCCCTTGGTCTGGACGGGGGAAGGCCGGGAGCGGCCAGAGCGTCCAGGACGGCCCCATGCGGCTCCAAGATGGCCCAGGCAGCCCAAGGCGGCGTCCAAGATGGCCCCCAGCATACCTCCACGCAGCCTCAAGAATGCCCCACTCTGACTCCGATTTGCCACGGCGCCTCCCAGAGGTATCCTCGCTAGGCCCAAACCCGACCAACAACACAGCCTGAGCTTTTTCAATGCTATTTGCCATCTCGCCTTTTCGCTTTTGATTGGCTTCTTCTGAAGCGTTCTATTTGCTCAAGGGAGCCCCAAGAAGGGATGTTGGGCTCCAAGACAGCCCTCAAGGCCTCCAATCTAGTCCCAAAAGCGTTCTAGGAGGGCCCCGAAAGGCGATTTGTCGGGATCCGACAAGGCGAAGCAAATTAGGCACCCCCAAAACAGGGTCCCAAGAGAGTCCTGAGAGGGCCTCGAATAATTCCAACATGGCTCCAAGAGAGTTCCACGATAGCTCCAACAGGCTCCCATAGGTCTCCAAGTTCGCCATTGTTGGCCTCTGTGTTCCACGATGTGCTCGCTTACTTCCCCTTCCCCGAAAACTTGCCTGGGCGTCGTTTCTAGATGGGCTGGCGAAGATACGCGATGCGTCAATCGTTTTGCAGCTCCGGAGGTCAGGGGTCCATGAACGGGGACTTTGATGAGCCCGAGAAAAACTGCAGCCGTGTGTCGAAACATCCCCCGTTCTTCGTTCTTCTCTCGAGCCGGAACTTGCAAGGTCCTGGTTTCCGGGGCCCCGAGGGGGGTCCTGGTGGCCACGGTCGGACGCGGCTCGGGAAACTGACCAGGCTGGACCCCGGGAGGGATCTGGGGACTGGCCGTGAACGCATCTTGGCCGGGCGTGGGGGCGAGTGGGGCGGCCTCCGGAGAAGGCCCAGGGGGGATCACGAGCGGGGATCGGAGGCCCCCAAGGAGGGGCTCCTGGATGGCACAGGAGGGCTTCTGGCACGCCCCGTGGCCTTCTCAGGAGGTCGCCCAGGCCCTAGAGGAAGCATAAGCGGCAAACACTTCCGAAGGTCCGCGCGGAATTCGTGGACTGGCGCTGACCCCCCTGGCGGCGCCGCCCCTGGCGCGCTTCGCGCTCCAGGGAGAGGGGTCCAACGCCGATCCGGGAAATCCGCGCGGACCTCCGAATATTTCTCTTATGGCGTCCGTTCTCTTCGACTCCACGACGCCTTGTCAGGAGGCCCCCCCCCGTCTCCCCCCCCCCCTCCCGCCGCCAGGTCGGGGGGCCCGTCCTCGGCGGTCTCGCTCCACTCCTCCGAGGTCGCCGGGGAGGGTGGCGCTTGCACGTGCAGCAGCGGGCAATTGCCGCCCAGCGAGCAGGCACCCTGCTGGAATTCGCCGGCCCAACGGGCCAGAGGCGTGCTAAGATCTCCGGGAACTGCTAAATAATACTTCTACTTCGCGCGCGCGCGGGGCGGCCCCTGGGGGTCCCCGGACGAGAAGTACCCCGGGCGATCCCCGGCAGGGTCGGGTCAGAGATGGTTTTCCTCTTGGGCGCCGCCCCCGTGGCCCTCCAGAGAGCCCCAAGAAGGGCCACGAGGCCGCCAAGAGCCCTCCAAGATGGTTCAAGAGTGCTCCGAGATGCCACACGATCGTTCCAAGACGCCCAAGATGGCCCCCAGACGCCCCAAGAGGCCTCCAAGAGCACTCCCCAGAGGGCCCCAAGAGGCAAAATTCATTACTTTTCCTTAGGTTTTGGGCAGATTTTGGCGTGTCCATCTTTTCGGCTTCCCGACGCCCCAAGACGGCCCAAGAGGCCCCCAAGATCGCCGCAAGAGAGCCCAAGAAGCTCCCAAGAAGGCCCCAAGATGGCCCAAGAGGGCTCCAAGACGGCCCCAGAGGCATCCAAGACGGCCCAAGAGGGCCCCAAGCGATGCCCCAAAGGGGGAACACAAAACAAAACTTCGAGCCCTCGGCCTTAAGAAGCCTCCAGGAGGCCTCAAGAGGCGCCCCAAAAGCCCCCAAGAGGCCCTCAGGAGGCCCCCAAGCGACGCTGAAGAGGCCCCCCAGCGGCCCCAAGAGGCGCAGTCATGCGAAATGGGCCGGCGGAATGAGCGAAGCGATTCAATAAACGGCAGACGTTGCCGCCGAAAGCCATGCGAGCATGCCCACCCACAATAGGTGCCAACAACAAAAAAGCTACAACGCGTGACGTGGCGCCCTCGGCCCGCGGTCCACCTGCCGCGCTGAGGAGCCGGGACCGACCAAACGTCCAAGCAAATTCCAGAGTCCAGATGAGCGACGAAGAGAAACGGGACTTGAGCGAAAACACCCAGCGACCTTACGCTGCGGTTTGCACGGGCCGTTAACGCTTGCGCACCGAGTGGAGAAGGGGGCACTCACGCGCGGCCTTACCCAGACAACTTGCGCGCGAATGCCCGCACAATCGACCCCGTTTTCGTCCGTCGCTCAGATGACAACCCAGATGACCCGCCAACGCTGTCGGTTCCGTTCGTTCCAATACCTCTGGAAGGTCTGTCTGACTGTGCGTTTGGTCCCTTCCCCTCAGGGGGGGGCATGTGGACCACAGCCCTGGGCTTGGGACCCGACCCTGCTGAAGCGGGGCACTTGAGCTGATGAGACTCATGGTGACGACGGTGACGATGGGCGTGACGATGACAGCGGCGGTGCCGATAGCGTTCGCCAAATATCACTACATGGGGATGCGACAGCCGTGAGGATGACAGCAATAACGATGGCACGGAGGGCCTGTGTCGCATCCTTGGGGAATCTTGGGGCCGGGGATTCTCGGGCTGTCTTCGGGCCCTCCTGAACCGTCTTGAGACCCTTCATGAAGGATTTCGAAGCGAAGCTGCTAGGTACATCCTTTTGAACATGCGAGGTTGGAGATGCTGATAATTTGTTTAAGGATGTCCATCGCGGAATCGCTTTTTCGGCAATCTCGAGGGCGCTGTAGGACCGTTTGGGCCGTCCGCTGTCCTAATGTCGTGTTCTCCCCGTTTGGACAGCCCGCTTTTCAGAACCACGCGTGTTCCCTGTTTGGATAGGCCGCTGTCCGAATGTGACCGCCCGCTTTCCGAATGTCGCGTTTTCGTAGCTGGGACCGTCAATCTGTGCTCGTAGCTGTCACAAGGAGTGTGCATAAACCATACATTTTCACCGCTTGGCCCGCCAGCCAGCTCTTCACAACCACGCGTTTTTGCCGTTTGGACCGCCCGCTATCCGAATGTTTCCCCGTTTTGGGCCGCCCGCTTTCCAGAACCGTGCGTTTTCCCTGCTTGGATCTGGGAGACTCTCGGGCCGTTTTCGGGTCCTCTCGAGCCGTCTTGGGGCCCTCTTAGGAGCCTCTTGGACAGTCTTGGAGCGATTTCGGCGGCATCTTGGGCCCGCTTGGAACTGCGAAAGCTTGAACATACGAGAACGCTCAAACACCTACCGGGGATCTTCGGTTTCTGGCCCTTGAGGCCATCTCGGGGGTTCTCTTGGAACCCACTTGGAACGTCTTGAAGCCTCCTGAATCGTCTTGAAACTCTTTTGGGCCGTCTTGGTGCCTCTTGGACCCTCTGGAGCCGTTTCGGGCATCATCTTGGACCGTGTTTTACCCTCTCGGAGACCAGCTTTGGGCAAACTTGGGGCCCTGTTGGGCCATATTGGCCGACAACGTGCTATTTGTTGGTGATGTCCCAGCGGAAACCTCATTATGGGCAAGACCGGAACCAAACCAGCGTCGACGCAGGTATGCCCGTGGCGTATGCTACGTGCAACAGGAGTAGCGTAGTTCGTAGGAGCTGGTTGCCGATGTCGATATGATCATTTCCCTTACCCGTTTGGTAGTTCAGGCCCCGTGGTTGGTCCTGGCTGTGTAGTGGTCGAGGTTGATGCTTAGCGTCAGGTATGCCTCTTGTTCTTGCCGCGCTCCATGTCTCGCATGGGGGGCCAGCCATAATAGCCGCTACTGTCTCCTCCGTCATGTTGTTGATTCAGAAGTCGGTCGTGTTCCAAGTGGTCAGGTCTCCCGCGGTGGTGTGGTTGGCGATGTCGATAGACAGCGTATGCGCGTGCGTACTCTGTGGCGGTTGGAAGATGCAGGGCGGTTTTTGCAAATTGCCCCAGAAATTGCTGTCGGTTGAACGTCTGTCGGTCGTCGGCTGGTAACTGCACCGGTGGCATTCTGTCGTGGGTCGCCGACATGTCCTCGATATGAGTCGGAATGATGTCGGTCTTGTAGACGAGGATGTGGGCGTAGTCGGGTGGTCTTGCTGCCTTGATTTTGGCGCGCTGCGAAAGTCGTATCTCCTCCCTGTTCTGCGCTGTCTCGTCGTCGCCGTAGGGGAAGGCTCCAGCCATCCATGGTGCCACGCATAATGGCGTTGCCTGGAGCTGCTTGACGAATCTCGCGTAGGTGTGGTACTGGTAGATGCGATTTAAGCGAATGGTTTCCCGTGCTCATCCTTCTTGTGGCGCTTCCCAAGATGCGCGTAGTAAGCGTTCTTCTCGGCGAAAATCGTCCCGCATTGGTAACGCATTTGGGTGCGTAAGTGGTTCCGGCCCTGGTGGGGTGCTTCGTAATGGTGGCATGTCGTCTGTGCTCTGGCACGGGTCCGTAGCCTGGTTCATGGCCGCGAGCGGGCCCCCTCCTCGGGGTCTCCCGCGCTCGAGGGGCCGCCCGGCGCGCGCGGGCCCCGTCCCAGCGCGCGGCCGTCGCGCGGCCTGCCCCTTCCGCCGCTGCCCGCGCCGCCGGCCGGCCCTGGCGCCTAGCCGGGGCCCGGATGGACCAGGAGGGCTGGCGCTCGGTTGGGGATGCTCCCTCTGGAGAGGTGGTCGATCGGGGGGGGGTGCGGTGGAAGGCTCGAGCGTCCTGGCAATGCGTGTAGTTTGGGGGCTGCCGCGCATTCCTGGCGACCTGGTATAAGCGAGCTTTCACAAGACGCCGGACGCCGTCGATCTTCCTGGGGGTCCTGAGGACAGACTTCCTGGCCGCTCACTTGCCGGGCCCGGGGCCTGCTGCCCTGCCGGCGACCAAGAAGGGCGCGAGGCCCAGCGCAGTAGCGGACCTGGGGCCGGGCACCCTGCCCCCGCGGGGGGCTCGCAGCCAGACGCCGGGGGCAGCAAACTCACCTGGGCCCCGGCCTCCCATGCAGGGCGACCCCTGGGGGCACTCCGGGGAGTGGGGCCCCCCCCCGCTATAGGGCTCCCCCCTCCCCTTGCGAACCCTGGCCTGCCCTTCCCGCGCCGCGGCGTTCCCCGCCGCGGGTTCGCTGCTGTCCGCCGGGAGGTCGCAGCTCTGCTTCGCCGTGCCTCGCCGCGGTTCACGGCGCAACCCAACGAAGCGTGACAGGAGGGGGAGGGATTGCAGAACACAGCGCCGGCTCTCCCTGCGACGCGGCCGGAGGCGCGATGGCCGACCCAGCCGAAGGCGCTCGCCTTGGGCCTGGACCTGATTCTGCTTCTCGCGACGACGTACCTGGACAGGGGGCGGAACAAGACCGGGACAACGGTCAGGCCTGGCCGAATGACGGCACCCAGGCGGCCAACAGCGCCCGCCCAGCACGACCCAGTTGGCAACCCAAAAATCAAGGCCACCGAGCTCCCTGCGGCCCATCGGGACTTCCCCCCTGTGAAACCCAGCCTGCTCTCCCTGTGCCGCGACGTTCCCCGCCCTGGGTTCGCTGCTGGTCGCGGGGGGGGGGCGCGGCATCACTTCGCCGTCTCTCGCCGCGATTAGTGGCGCGCCTGCAGCGATCGATGGGGCAGGAACGGGGAGGGGGGCGGGGGCCGCGACGGCTTCCCTGGCCCGAGTTCGGTGGCCCCTTAGGACCCGCCCTTGGTGGCCCCCCGGCCTGCCTCCCCTGCGCGGGGGCTTTCCCCGTCCCGGTCTCGCTGTCGGCTGCGGGGGGCGCGCGGCGTCATGTCGCAGTCCTTCGCCGCGATTAGTGGCGTGCCTAGTGCGATCGTGGGGTGCTGGCGTCGGGTGCGCGTGGAACAATGACGCGTGGCTCGCTTGGGTCGATGCTTGCCGATTTTGTTCTCCGCGCGCTTCAGCTTCTTGTTGGTGGTGCTGGGTGCTTGCGGGCGGGTGGCGTAGATGAGCCACTGCCGGGCGTGCCAATGAAGGGTCGTTACGGGCTGATCGCTTGCGGCGTCATTGGTTCAGCTGGCGCGATGCAGTCGTTTCTCCTCGTAATCGGTGACAGAGTGCGAGCGCGATGACCTCTGGCGTGGGTGGGTCGGGTTGAGCTGGTGGCATGCTGCTGTCGGTGCTAGCTGGTGGCGCAGGGCATTCCTGCTAGTCGCGCTGGGCGCGTGCTGGCTGTAGTGTTCTTGGCGACCTCGTTGACCTCGTCGGGGTAGACGCGCGGTGCGC